CGCTGTGGGCGCAATCCCGGCCTGGATGTGCAGGTCAAAGAAGATGAGCTGGTCCGTCGAGTTGACGGCAGCGCCAGCGATGGGCAGACGCGTGCACTGGAAGGAGGTCGTGGCGTTGGAGGTGATGGCATCCCCCGGGAACTCAACAGTCGCGGACACGTTGGGAAACGAGTTGAGAACAGACACGCTGCTGATGGAGTCGCCGCTCAGGTCGAACATGAGGCCGTTGACGCGCTGTGCCTGCGTCGTGTCTGTGGGACGCCAGGTGACCTGCACCATGCTTTCATCGCTTGCCTTGGAGTTGACGAAGAATTCGCCCGGGAAGCACCCCTTGTCTGGCGAGCCCACAGGGCATGCTATGTACTCGAAACTGGCAATGACGACCTTCACCTTGGAGAACATGACACGGAAGGCTGGCTTGTCATCTGGGTACTGGAGATCGAACGGGCCAGCAGGCGCCACGGTTGTGGTTGTGGTTGTGGTGGTCGTCGTCGTGGTCGTGTTCGTGGCCGTGGTCGTGGTCGTGGTCGTGGTCGTCATGTTAGCGGTCGTTGTCGTCACATTGCCTGGCATGGTCGTGGTGGTGGTCACATTGCTTGGCATAGCTGTTGTCGTCACATTGCCTGGCATAACAGGTGTGGTCGTGGCATTGCTTGGCATCGGGGTGGTGGTCACATTGCCTGGCATCACAGGTGTCGTCGTGGCATTGCCTGGCATCACAGGTGTGGTGGTCACATTGCCTGGCATCACAGGTGTCGTCGTGGCATTGCTTGGCATCGGTGTTGAAGAGGCGTTCTTGGCCAGTGGTGGGACTGGCACTGGGGTGGACTGTCCACTGACGGCGTGAGGTGCAACGATGGCGGCGGTCAAAACGACCGCAGCAGCAAACACGCTGGTGGCCACCAGCGAAGAGGACACTTTCATCGTTGTGGTATGCTTGTGTGTACGTCTCACGTCAGTTGATTCTGCTGCAACCCGGAGGGGATGGCTGAGGTGTTGTTATGTTTTACAACAGGACGAGCGAGAAGAAAGACAACAAACAAGACGAAGACAGCCACGAAATGAGGATGAATGGTGTGGTGTGGCTGGCTGCTGGAGACATCGCACGCACGCACAACCAAGAGGCAAGCCAAAGGTTCCCGGCCTTTGTTTAAAGATATTCACCAATTGTCGCACTGACTCATCAGCTGAGTAGACGATTTGTTGAAGGTTTCAACAAAAGTTCGACACAGACAAAGAAAAGGCGCGGCAGGAACGAGCAAGAGGCAAAACAAAGAAAAGGCAAAGGCGGACGCGTTGCGCCGAGCGAAGCAAGAAGCAAGTGGAGCGAGTGGAGCAGGATCGCTCATCACTGCTGCTGTTGTTGTTATTGTTGTGTTGTTGTTGTTGTTGTTGTTGTTGTTATTGTTGTTGTTGTTGTTGTTGTTGGGTGAGGTAGCGTAGAGTATTGGGGGGATGTGCCGTCTTACAGCGTACGTTGGGCCGCCCATTGCGCCCGCCCACTTGGTGACACGCCCAAGCCGCAGTATCATCCGCCAGAGCTACGCAGGTTGGGTGCATGTGTGTGTACATGCACGCGTGTGTATGTGTGTGTGTGTGTGCGTACGTGTGTGTGTGTGTGTGCATGTTGTGTTCACACACACACACCTACACACACACACACACGCACACACACACACCTCCACACACACACACCTCCACACACACACACACACACACACACACCTACACACACACCTACACTCACACACCTACACACACACTCACGCACACACACACACACATATACACGCACACGCAATGATCCCTTCTGTTTCCTCCCCCCCTCCCCCTGACAACTCTAACCAGCACGGGAGCGAGTGACGGAGCGAGGGTATTTGAACGGCGATGGGTTCGGCCTTGGGTGGTATCCGCTGGTGCCTGTGCTGGAGGACTCTCCAAGCACGTGTGCAGCTGAACTGCGGCCGAATCAAGGGCCTCAGGACCACCGCGCGCAGCCAGAGCACTCGTCTTGCTCCACAACAACGAGCCCGCGTGAGTCGTGCGAGAATGAGGACGCCAATGACAACCAACAGCAGCAAGAGCAGCAGCACCATGCGCCGTGCTCTTTCTCCTCCACGGCAGAGGCCCGACACAGGGCCAGTCTCGAAGCCCACGGACCGGATATCCCACCGCCAAACTCAGAGTCGCTCGCTGGCACGTGTTTCCAGCGCTCGGAGCCATGCGTCTTCACGGGGACGGGGCCGGCATGGAACAGCACCAACCTGCGCCAGCTCTCGGAGAGCATCACCGCCTCCATCGTCTTTGCACACGTCCGCGCAGCGACGGAAGGCACAGACGTCACCGAACTTAGGTGTGTGTGTGTGTGTGTGTGTGTGTGTGTGTGTGTGTGTGTGTGTGTGTGTGTGTAAGTTTGTGGAAATGTCTCTGCGTGACAATAGGCCTGCTTGCTGTGTTTTGTTGTGTTTGCTGCGCTTGCTGTGGTTTGCTGTGTTTGCTGCATTTGCTATTTCCTGATACGGCATGTCTGTACCATGAACGACTGCAATCTCACACCTGCTTCACTCATCTTCTCCTTGCCCACCTGTCTGTCTCTCCTTTGCAGCTGCCACCCGTTTCGGTTTGGGCGGTACATGTTCATGCACAACGGCAACATCGGCAACTTTGAGCGCGTGCGCCGCCTTGTTCTTCCAACGCTCGAGGGAGACGCGTTTGACTTTGCAGTCGCCAGGGTACGTGCTGGGGAACCGGGACAGGCTCATATACGTGCATATGCAGACACTCATGTGGACGCGCGTGCGTGTTGACGCGCGTACACAATCGTTCGCACAGCACAGTTGGTAGATACACTCACACACTCTCGCACACTCACTCACAAACACACACACAAACATACAAACGCGCTCACAAACACACACACTCACTCACAAACACACACGCACACAAACACACAAACACACACACAAACACACTCACAAACACACACACACACACACACACAAACACACAAACACACTCACAAACACACAAACACACACAACCCCCTCCGCAATTCGCATAGGGCTCGAGCGACTCGGCGCTTTGTTTCGCCATGTTCCTGAACAGGCTGCCACGCGACCCATCCACCCCGCTCACGTGCGAGCAAATCCGGGAGCACGTGGTGTCCGTCATCAAGGACCTTGACACGCTCGCAGACAAGCACAACCTGCGGCAGGCGAGCATGCTCAACTTTGTGCTGACGGACGGGGAGCACACCGTGTGCACGCGCTATCTTCGCGACCCAGACAGCACGCAGACGGGTGCAGCCACGCTCTACTTCTCAGCAGGTGCCGGTTATGAATGCGTACATGATTCGATGGGCGTTTACCGCATGTCGCACGCGGACCGGAGGCATCGCGTTGTTATCGTCGCATCAGAGCCCCTCACCAACACCACCTCCGACTGGTTGGTGTGTGTGTGCGTGTGTGTGTGTGTGTGTGTGCATGTGTGTGTGTTTCTGTGTGTGTGTGTGTCTGTGTCTGTGTGTCTGTGTCTGTGTGTCTGTGTCTGTTCTGTGTGCGTGTGTGCCTGTGTGTGTGTCTGTCTGTCTGTCTGTGTCTGTGTGTGCCTGTGAAGATGCAGGTTCACATCACTGCACGTGACTCTGGCACCCACTCGTCACCCTCACCATCGCCATCCAATCCACCACTGCTTGATCAACACGATCGCCGTACGTGAAGGTTGCCTGTCCCTCCTGGGTACACGCTGACAATCTCACGCGAGATTGACGTGCTGCTGTCTCCCATTCATGGCGAACAGCCCAGCTGCCATCCAAGCGTCACAGACTGCCTCACCCGCTCATGCGTCCCAAAGTCTGCACAAGGTGCCGCACACGTGTTTCGTTTGCTCGCTCACTTGCTCACTTGCTTGCTTGTTTGTTTGTTTGTTTCACATGCTTGTGTTTGTTGGTGTTTGCTCGCTTGTGCTGGGTGTGCACATGCACAACATGTGCATGTTACTTTGCCATGTTCTCTTAATTGTGGACCGGCTCCTCATCCCTGGTTCACCTGTCTGTGACGATCGCTGTTGTCTGTTCGTTCCAGCCGTCGCCAATTGCGATGTGAGCAGCATGACTGCTGGGCACCACGACATCTCACACACGGGTGAGCTTCTTCCTCATACGAACACACATGCACACACACGCATGCACGCACACACACATACACACACATACACACATACACACATACACACACACACACATACACACACACACACACACACAAACATGCATGCTCCTGCATACACGTGGAGTGGAACACAGCATGTTGGTGTGAATGAACACGCGTTGATAGTGGCGTTGTCCATGTTCCATTCACTGCCCACAAACATGGCTGCGCCATTGCTCACATGGTTCACGTACTCCAACACACACATACACACATACACACATACACATGCGCATACGCACGCACACGACAGCGAATGTGTTGTGCTTTGAGATTGTTGGCTCGCTGGTGTTTACGGGGTCCAATGCGAGCACCATCACAGTCTGGGATTCCGAGACGGTGAGCCCTTGTCATGCCGCCGTGGATGTCGCCTGCTGCCCTTTTGTATTGTTTGGTTGTGACGCAGCTTTGATTTGGACATTTACTCTGACAACACACAATTCTGGTTTCCAACGCCTATAATGACACGCACACACACACACACATACACACACATACACACACATACACACACATACACACACATACACACACATGCACACACGTGCACACACACCCTCGCACTCATCACAACACTACTCACACGCGCACATCTCCATTGACGTTTGCACATGTGTGCAGTGGAGGCGGCTGGCGCAGCTGGAAGGCCACGACGACGCAGTGCTCTCACTCACATCAACAGCACACGCAAACGCACGCTGCCACAGCAGCAGTGATGGTGACAATGGCCATGATGATGGTGGTGGTGATGGTGATGATGATGATAGCAGCAGCAGCAGCAACACGAGCGAG